GTTACCATTGTCTGTAATATTATTTTAAATGTTTTCAGATTTAAAAATACGCATATAATTACATACGCATATATATAATATACTACTAAAAAATACTATTTTTTAATTTGATGAAATTTCAACAAAATGTTTATCAAAAAAAAACAAATTTTACAAAGCAAAAAAACAAGTGTTTGAAAAATAGATTTTCAGATCTGCCCGGAAATCGGCTATAGATTTTTAATTTATAATGAAAGAAATTCATTCCGGAAATGTCGTGAAACATAAAAATCATGAAGGATCAGATCCAGTTCGAAAGTACTGTGTTAATAAATTCGTTTAATTTCCACAATGTTAATTGCTAAAATGTTAATCTTGCATAAGATCGAGAATTTAATTTTTGGATTAGATTTGTTAGAAAGTTGGTATTTTGTTGTTGAATAGGTCCCGCCTAAATGTTCTTCAATCTTCTCAGCTCTTCTATTTAAATCAGTAAAAGGAATATCAAAATTATTTAATTCAACATTAGCCACCATTTTTACGCATTCAGTTGACGTTTCAATAAACTAAAATCGCAAGAAAAAATTAAAATATTTAAAAATAAATTTTATCCTAATTTGACTTGTTTGAAAAACTCAGTAAATTCAAAAGTAAGCAAAAACTTACAGTTAAGACAATATCAAAAAGTTTTTGTAAGGTATTAGACCTTAAGCAGACACAGTTGTAATTGTTTCCATTCATTAAAATTTTAAATAAAATATCTGCATATTTTTCAGCATCTTTATTATCATCAAGATCAATCATAAGAGATTTACTAATAATCAAATGATTCAATACAAATTTAAAATAATCTTTAGTGTTGTAAAAGATATAGAGCCAAGACGTTTGAATATAAAATTGTTTAGGAGTTCGTCCAAATAATAATTGAATCAATTCTGGATTGAAGATAAAATCTTCAAAGTCCCCACATTTAAAAAAACATTTAAATAATTTATTTAAATAATAATAAATAATTCTCATGTCCTCTTTATTCTCGATAATGGTTGGTAGTTGTAGTATACTAAGACGGGATGTACCGTCGTAAACTAAAAGTTTTTTTAATTAAAAAACATTTAAACATTTCGGGCGGTCTAAACAAAAACCCCAAGCTTAACAGAAAAGGTAAGCTATTGATATGCCCGCACACTTTCGTTATTTTAACATTTGTGTGTAGTGGTTTTAGCGGATGCCTAATTTCCTTCGTTCGAACCAAACTAATCCACCTTTTCTTGAATATTTTCCAACTTTTAATAAACAAAACTTTACCTTTAGTTAAGAAAATAGAAATTCCGTCCGAATCTTCATCAGGTAAATACAAAGGAATTGGGTTTTCTATTCCATTTCTTAACTAAAAAAGGAAATTTTAACTATTAAATATTTTAATCACCTTCTTTTCAAGCTGTTCATTCAATGGAAAGTCAAAATTTTCAGTTTCGAGTCTAATTAATTTATGAGAAAGTCCTTTACATCTATCAAAATAATCCTTAAAGAATTTTTAAAAATTTAAATTAATAAAAAACGTTACAATAGTTATATTATGAAATTTCTCCCGAGCAAGTTCCCCTTCATATTTATCAATAAATTCACGAAAATATAAATTCGTTAGCTTGACTGAACATAATTGTTCATAGTTGAGACATTTAAAAATATCAAATTGGACTTCAATTGGCAAAGAAAACATTTTTTGACAGAATTTAGTACTAAAGATTAATTGGATAAATAATTAAAAAACTATACATGGATTAATACATAAAACGTGATTTAAAATATTTAAAAATAAAGTGACTGATTTTAACTTGTTAAAAATGAGATGAAGATAAATTTTATAAAAAAAAATAATTTAATCGAAAGTTAATGAAAAAGATCAATTTATGAAAATAATTTGCTGTTCAATAAATCGAATAAACTTATTGCTTTCGTCGTCTCAAATTCTTTCATTATTCTGATATTAATGTTAAAAATAGATCCACTATTCCATTCTTTAATACAAAATGAAAATCTCACTTTTGGATTGTAAATATTGGCAATTTGATATTTTGTGGGTAATCATGGACAATCCGGGAGACACCATAAAAATTATTATATTTTTTTCTGTAAATAGTTTTACGCAGGTAATCGACCATGCTGATTGTGAATCTGAGCTTAGAATTTGTTTATTTCGAACCCCGGACCCGGGTTCGACCAGGTCGAATTGGGGGTAAAAATTCGAAATTTCAAATTTTATGTCTAATCGGATTAGTCTCTTCAAGCTGAGTCGAATGGTACCAAAATTATTCAGTTTCGACAACTTTTGACGAAGTTATGACTTCTGATTTGTATACGGAAGTCTAACCCAGCGTTATTTAATTGATCATAACTACGCCCAAAGTTGTCGAAACTGAATAATTTTGATACCATTCGACTCAGCTCAAATAGATGCGTCAGATTAGCCCTAAATTTTTAATTTCGAATTCTTACCCTGAATTCGACTTGTCGAATTCGGGTCCGGGGTTCGAAATGAACAAATTCTAAGCTCAAATTCGAACTCAGCATGGTCGATTACCTAAATAAAAATATTTTCAGAAAAAAATAATAATTTTTAAGGTGTTTTTAAGGTGTCTCCCGGATTGTCCATGATTACCATTTTGTGTATTTTAGACCAAGTATTATTTGTTCAATTTCAACTTTTTCTGCCCTTTTGCTCAAATTAAAACTTGTGGGATTAGGACACACCAAAACAATAACAGGCACTATTTTTAAGCAGTCTCGAGATGTTTCTATACACTAAAAATTTAAATTACTTAGTTAAATTATTGTAATTTACTTTTACATATAATAATTAACCATTCCTGGCAATTTAGCAAACTTGAAATAAACTTGTTTAAAATTGTCCCCATTTGTTAAAATTTTTAATAAAATATTTTTAAATTTTTTAATGTCTGCTCTATATGGAAGAAATTCAATTGAAAGTATTTCACCAGCAAGATGGTAAAAAATAAATTGAAATAAATTTTGAATATTGTGTCCAGTAATAGAAAAATTGTAATTTTGAACATAAAATCGTTTAACATTTCCAAATAATAATTGAATAAGGTTTGGATTGAATGTGAATTCCTCAATATAAACATATTCAAACCAACAATTAAACAATTTATTTAAATAATAATAAACAATTTTGATGTCTTTTTTGCTTTTAATAATGTTTGGAAGTTTAAGTAAAAGAGAACCTTCAATTTTCGAACAGTCCGAACGAAAATCTACATCTAAAAAAATAAAGGAGATACTAAACGAAAATTAGGGTTAACATAAGCTGTTGCATATTAAGTTGGACTAACAAAATTTTATTAAACAAAATTTAACCCTTAATTAAGCAAATAACATTTTCGATTGAGCTTTGATTATCAGTTAAATACAAAGGAATTGGTTTTTCAAGTCCATTTTTCCACTAAAAATAAACGTTGACTTTTAAATGCTTAAATTTACTTTCTCTTCAAGTTGTATTTGAAAACTTGAAAATATCAAGTTTTATTTCTGCTGGTAAAGAGTAAAACATTTTTTGAAGAAACTACGAAATTAAAAATGTCAAATTAAAATTTGTTTAGAATATTCGAAAATAAATTGAAGGTAAAATTCCGTCATATCTCCCAGAAACCGATCCGGACAAACGATATGTCTTTCGAAAGAGCTCACCGAGCTGAGTCGAATGACACCAAAATTAGCTTCGGGACTCACCTGTGGGCTGAGATATAGGTCCCCGAAAATCGAAAAACCAAAGGGGGGACCAAGCACTATTTTGGCGTAAAAAATTCGAATATACAAATTATACCTCATTTGAAAGAGCTCGTCGAGCTGAGTCGAATGACACCAAAATCAGCGAAATCCGACTTGATTTGACAAAGTTATGAGCATCAGTTTTAGCTCCTTACCTTTGGTCTACATGCAGGTTTTTCTTGCCGGGGAGAAGCCAGACATGCCGACCGCAGCTAAAATAGGCATAAGTTTATGTTACGAGCCCAGACCCAGCGCCCGTTGACTCCCCGCGAGGCGCGTGCCGCAGAGATATGACGGAATTTTTCCAAATTGAATATTTTAAACAATTTTAAACTATAAAAATTATTAGGGTTAGGATTTCCGAATCGGGCCGACGTTTGAGTTATTTTTTTTTCAAACCAATTCTCATTTTTCATTTCTCATTGCCTGGGTTTCTCATTCTTCGTTCTCATCGCCTAATTACCAGGGCTTTGAAAAATAGGATGAAAAAGCGATAGTTGTCCATCACTGACCATTGTCTTATTTAGTTTAACTCATCCACACAGAATTTATAAAGTAAGTAACCAGAGAAAATTTCATGTTATTCATCAATAATTTCAAATATTTAGCATTCGGTCTAATTATTTTATGAGAAACTTCATTAAATCGATCGATATACTTCTGCCACTCACACTAAATTCGGCTCTTGTCCAGTTTATGCGTCCCATGAAAGTATATGCGTCCCATCAACAAAAAATTGAATATTTCTTGGTGTTGCAAAGTAGGGGTATGGTTTCAAAGCATTTCTTCATGTTCGGGATCTAGGTCCACTGGGTCTGGGACCGTTCCTTACCCTATCCTTCGAAATTTCTGAAAGTTATAACCAATTTTTAAAAATTTCAAAAAAAACGATTTTAACTTTCCAAAATTTCGAGGTATAGGGTAAGGAACGATCCCAGACCCAGTGGACGTAGATCCCGAACATGAAGAAATGCTTTGAAACCATACCCCTACTTTGCAACACCAAGAAATATTTAATTTTTTGTTGATGGGGCGCATATACTTTCATGGGACGCATAAACTGGACAAGAGCCCTAAATTCTACTGAAAATGTCATATATAGGGCCCTTATGCTTCATACTTGGCCCTTATGCTCACTTTTCACGATAAAACTACAATCGATTTTAATTAATAAAATTTTAGGAGAATTGGGATTTTTCCTATTTTTTCTTTTTTAGATTATTAAAATTAAAATGCTTTCTCTTCCACCTGAAGTTCAACTTGATGTATTAAAATATCTTAATTTCAACCAATTATTCTCTGTTAAACTAACTCATTTTTATTTTTGCAATTTAATCAATAAATATGAGGGGGAATTGGCACAAATTAAATTTTATCAGATTTCAATAGTAAATATATAAACTTTTTTTAATTTAAATTAATTTTAGATTGAGCCAAAATCTCTTCGAAAGTTAAATCCATATAAACTCATTAAACCTGTTAAATCCGGAATTTTTGAATTAACTTTAAATGATCAACTTAAAGAGAAGGTTAATAAATTAATTTTTAATTAAATTTATTTATTTTTTCAGTGGCAAACAGCTATAGACAAATCAATTCCTTTGTTCTTGGATAAATTCATCAGTCAATTATTTGTTGGTTTAAAAACGACAGGTTTAAAAATTATTACATTAATTTTATCAATTTTCTGAATAACGTGACTAATTTTTAGAATCACATATTTCGATCTCAATTAGCCAAATAATTTTTAATCATTTTTCTATTTAGAGGACGGAGGATCTACTTATATCCTAGAATTCCCAAACCTTCCTAGAGATATTGAGGAAATGATTATTGCTCGTTGCTGCATGGAAATACTTTTTAATTGTGACTTTGAACGTGCTCATTTTGATAAAACTGTATTTAATTCAGAAATGGTCAATATATTATTTGATAACGATAAAACAATTCCTCTTCAATTTAACATTAATCGTCTATATCTATCTGCTAGCAATAAAATATGTGAAAATTTGGTGGTCATTTTAGATAATTTAGTAATATCTGAATCTTTTTCGATGAATTTGAAAGATGTTGACATTTCAGAGCAATATATAGATATTTTATTGGATATTTTAATGAATAAAGTTGATAAATTACATGCCGTTAGTTTAATGTTTAAATGTGAATTGCCACAAATTTATGATCTTATTGTTGAAGTAAGTTATCCAGACTTTTTCATTTTATAAATTTTTATAAAAATTTTAGTATATAACAACATCTAGAGATTGTTCTAAAATAGTGCCTGATATTTCTTTGCATCACTTTGGAAAAACAGAATTTAAATTAAGTGAAAGAGCAGAAAACTTTCAAATCAATGACTATGGGGTTATAAAATATACATATTACCAAATAGCCAATATTCACAATCCAAAGGAAAGATTTTATTTTTCTACTGCAGAAACAAAATTGAAAGATACTGCTTCTAGTTTATGGATATCAAATTATAATTGCTAATTCGTTTGTCGAGCAGTAAAATTAAAAAAAAGATTGTTCTCATTTATATATTTTTTTGATTAAATCATTTTCTTTGTTTTTAAAACAATTTTTGAAAAATTATTCTTTTATAAAATATGTATAAAAATTTTCTTTTTAGTCCGACAGAAAGCCCGTATAAATTGCTACGAAAAAACCTTGGTCCTATTCTGGAGAAAAATTCTCTCATTGAGGAGCCATGGGTTAAATTTAAAAGTGTAAGTTTCATTTTAATTACGCTTGCCCCTATCTTTATGTCAATGATTGTATAAAATATTAAAACATTGCTCTGCAATAATTTTACAGATATTGGAAATGTAAATAATTAAAAAAATCTTTTATGCTTATCAAAAAACAGAAATTTTAAACTAATTTCTAAAATCAAATAAATACGTAAAAAGAAAAGCTTAGAAAATAGAATTATCGAATTTGCCCAGAAACCGTTTTTGGATTTAAAAAACCCATTCTAGAAATAATTTGGAGATCAAAAAAATCTGGGCAGATACTTCCAGAGCCGAAAGGTAAAATATAAGATATATGTATATAAGTAATATTATCGAAGATTAACAAAAAATTCGTCTAATTTCTGTACAAACCATTCCACCAAACCCACCATTATATAAAATAGAGAATTTAATTTTTGGATTATAAATGTTGAAAAGTTGGTATTTAGGCGCTAAATAATTTGGCCGGTACTCATTTACACGTTCCTCTCCAACCTTTTCAGCTTTTTCATTTAAAATAGCAAGATTAGTATCAAGATTATTTGCAATTAAGTCAATTTTATCCACCATTTTTGAACAATCTTTTGATGTTTTAATAAACTAAAATACAAAAAAAAATTAATAAAAAAATTAATAACTAAAAAATATATTTAATTTAGTTCTGTAATTAAAGCCTGACTTCCGTCTCAAATACCCCTTGTATCTAAAAAATTGTAGTTAAGTCGTAGGCAGAGAATTCTTAAATAGAGATTCTTACAGGACCGCGAGATTCTTCTAATATAGCGTCTGTTTTCTAAGGTATCGCTTAGTGTCCTTATTAGGGCACGGATTTTTTTGAAATACATTTTTCTTCATAAATATATTATGTCGAGAGAAGCCCAAATTTTAACAAGGTTGTATTTCAATATACTTCAATATTTAGCTCTTTTTGCAAATTATTTCAATATTTTATGGCCATATTCCCCAATTTTATTTCAATATAAATCCGTGCCCTAGTCATTAAGGTTGGCGGTTCCGGGTATCCGGAACCGAAAAAACCTCGGATATCCGGAAATTTTCGGTTCGGATACCGGTTCCGGATCCGGATATCCGAAATCTTCGGTTCGGATACCGGTTCCGGTTCCGGATATCCGAAAGTTTCGGTTCGGATACCGGTTCCGGTTCCGGATATCCGAAATTTTCGGTTCGGTTCCTAGAACTAGGGAAAAGGAAAGAAATCTTGCCCAACGGCCTTTCAAACTTGTCAAAATTTTCGCCTGCGGCGCCGAAAAGGCAAGAATCCTGGCTTAGGTATCTTAAAAATTCTCAAAATTTTTGCCTGCGGCGCTAAAAGGGGAAGAGTTGTAAGCACTTGTAAAAACTCACATACGATGCTTCTTTACAATTTTAAGGAGATATTGAAGTATTTCGATGTCATATAGAAGGATCAAGGATGATGGGATTTGAGGGGAAATATCAATAATAATAATATCAAGGGTGATATATCAATAAATCTCAATATCAATAAATCCTCGAGAGATATAGGTAGATCAATAAATCCCTATATATCTTTCGTCATCACCAACCTCCAGCTCTTAATCCACCAATATGTCCGATGTCTCTATTAATTCCCCAAAATCACTCATTCCTCACATAAATAACACTGTTAATCGTAAATTCCCTCAATACCTCTGTTAATTCCCCAGATCCATTCATATTTCTCTTAATCCCTTTATATCATCCATTGGGACTCAACTTTACAGCGCCGCAGGCGAAAATTTTGAAAATAAAAATTTCGGTTTCGGTTCCGGATACCCGAAATTTTCGGTTCGGATATCGGTTCCGGTTCCGGATATCCGAAATCTTCGGTTCGGATACCGGTTCCGGATATCCGAAAGTTTCGGTTCGGATATCGGTTCCGGTTCCGGATATCCGGAGATTTCCCAGGAACCGCCATCCTTACTAGTCATTATATTCTAATGCACGTAAAAAACATACATTTATAACAAAATCGTAAGGTTCTGGACCGTCCGTAAGTCCTAAACTGACTTTTCTAAACTTGTCTCCATTCATTAAAATTTTGCTTAAAATATCCACTGAATCTTCAGTATTGTTTTTTTGAGAAAAATTGATAAAAATAGAAAAGCCGATTAAATGATTCACAGCAAATTTTAATAAATTTTCGCTATTGTAAGCCTTAAAAGCCGTTAAGGACGAATAAATAACATGAAATTTCTTAGGAATTTTAGCATTTCCAAATAATAATTCTATCAGTTCCGGATTGAAGATAAATTTATCGAAGAAGCCGTGTTCAAAAGAACAATTGAATAATCTATCCAAATAATCATAAACAATTTTCATTTGATTTTTGTTTTTAATAATTGTTGGCAACTGTAGTTTAATGTTACGCTTTTCATCGAGGCAATCTAAAAAATTTTAATTTAGACGAAAATATTGAACTTTTCTAGTTCTTTTTAGCAGTCAACATAAATAAAGGAAGGGGTAATGCATCCCATTTTTCTATCGTTTATCCGTTCTTAAAATTGAGGATTAAAATTTTTTAAATGATTGAAATGATATCCCGTTTTTTAGTCCCGGCTGTCAGGTTCAAACTTCTTATGGTTTTAAATCATTTTTAGACTGATAATTTTTAAAATTAGAAAAATAACCTCTTAATTTGCCTCCTTTAGATAAGCAAATAACAGTGTTGTCTGAATCTAGAACAGGTAAATATAGAGGAATTGGGTTTTTTAGTTCCTTATCCCACTAAAAACGAAAGAAAATTTTTAAATATTTTTAACTTACTTTTTCTTCATTTATTTCTTTATGTTGCTCATCAAATAAGGCGAAGTTAAAATTTCCAGCTTCGGGTTTAACTAATCTCGATTCATAGAATTGAACGAAATTTATCTAAATAGAAAAGTTAAAAAAATTCAAAAAAACTTTACAATAATCTAATTATATAATTGAGAAGGGTTTGTGTGTTTGTCTGTCTGTTTGTCCTTTTATAGACAAGTGGGTTTTTATAGTAAAATAATTTGGGGGAGTGAAGAAAAGGGGGCTTTTATAGTAAAGCTATGCCAGTAGAATTAGGTTGTAAGGGTAAGAAGATAGTATAAAAGCAGGGTATTTTGATCATTCCTCAACTACTACCAACACTTCTCAACATTGCCCTGCTCTTTTCTACGTTGTTGGAGTCCTGTGTCCTCTGAGTGCTAGGCGTCAACGTTCATTTGTCAAGTGCTAGACGTCAACGTTCATGTGTCAAGTGCTAGACGTCAACGTTCATTTGAAGTGTGCTAGACGTCAACGTTCATGTGTCAAGTGCTAGACGTCAACGTTCATGTGTCAAGTGCTAGACGTCAACGTTCATTTGAAGTGCTAGACGTCAACGTTCATGTGTCAAGTGCTAGACGTCAACGTTCATGTGTCAAGTGCTAGACGTCAACGTTCATGTGTCAAGTGCTAGACGTCAACGTTCATTTGTCAAGTGCTAGGCGTCAACGATCATTTGTCAAGTGCCAGGCGTCAACGTTCATTTGTCAAGTGCTAGGCGCAAAGTTCATGCAGGCGGAATATTGAAACAATGGGAATTGTGAAGCAGGCGGAATATTGAAACAGGCGGAATATTGAACAAGGGGAATTGTGAAACAGAGGGAGTTGTGAAGCAGGCGGAATATTGAACA